AATCACTTAACCCAAAACATTAATCACTACCACTATCTTGTATAATGTTTTACATAATGTCTTATCACAAGTTTCTGGTATATATATATGGTGAATTAACTATATAGGGCATTCAATCATCGTCAATGAAATTAAAAATATTTTTATTCTGAACTTCTAAATTAATTTTCTAATATCGAATAATATAATTAAATTAATATCAAATAATTTGATTGTATTTCATAATAGGCAACTAACCGAATTTTTTTTTCCCGTTACTTCTGATTTAGCTGAACAGGAAAATAAAAGGGGATCCTTTATTTTTTTGCAAACGAGAGAAAGGAAAATGATAAAAGAGAAAATTTTCCTCTAATTTAAAGAATGCTTTAACTTCTTTTTTTTCCTAAGTAAATTTTTCGTGATTCGAGTTGACGTTCTTTGAGTGTAATGAACTTGATGTCGAGACCATGTTTTTCAGCTTTATTCCTAAAAAGCTTGTTGAAGTCACGAATGACTGAAATGGGATTTCAGTAGTATGTGTATCTCTCTCTCTTTCCACACAGTCTAAAGAGCAAGACGCTCGCCTTAATGGCGTAATAGCGTCTGCCACATAAAGGCACACAGCCGATTTCATGGACTCGCATTACCTGATAGATTATTCCGTATTCTAAAGAGTCGGTGTGTGGGAATCAAAAGGGGGTATGGAAGCGAAGAGAGGAAATAGAAGACAGAGAGTGAGAGGGAGGGAGGGAGGGAGTTCTCGAAGAGATAGAGGAGAAATTGTCGGTAACTCAGAGAAGTCGATCTAGAATAGTACGTGCAATTTTGCAAATGAGCACCGAAATCGGATAACCACCGCACATCCCCTCGCTGCCATACTAACCAACTTTACCTTGAGGAACTCTCTAAAGATGTATATTACTTGAAATATTAAACTCCCTCCCCCCCACTCTGATCTTGTATATTTAAAATAATTTAATTAGTGTTTCCCTGGATATATATATATAAGACTAAACTATTAAATTTTCTCCCCTATATGGATAACTCAGTCTCGGCAACAATTCGGTAAACCGCAAATAATTAATGAAACTTTATAAAATTATGAAACTTCATATCATATTAAATATAAAGCATATATGTGTAATTAAAAGCTAATTAGATACTGCATTATTAGAGTTTATAAACTCTATGAACATTGTTTTCGAACAATAATTTTACTTTTTCAACTACGAGGAGAAAAATTAATTGTAGTTTATATACTAAACCTGAAACTAAAATTTTGTGTTACAAATCTGTACTGTTGCATTAACAATATTTATTTTTAACTACAACAAATTTTTAGTAAAATTATTGTTTCTTATAGAAAAAATTTATTTTTACAACAGATTTGTATTGCTAGTATTGTTAGTATTACTAAGGAATTTATTACTACAACAATACAGATTTGTCGTAGCTACCAAACAAAATAGTTCCAAATTTTAGTACATATAATTAATTTTTCTTCTCGTCTTTTTATTACCCGATACCGTCCTTTCTTCTCTAAACATCGAAAAATTACACCAAAAAAAAACTATACTCTCATCAGTTCATTTAATAAAAACAAAAATATTGTTCAAGGGGAAAATAAAGCGAAATATTACTTCGAGGAATAGAAGATAATTAAAAAAAAAAAATAAAAATAAATGAAATTCGAGGTCTTGGTAAAGTATAATTGAGCCTTTGTCCCTGAAGAACATTCTTTAAACCATTATTCTGTTACTTTTCTTTAGTTAAAAAAAAAAAAAAAGAAAAAAGTTATATATATATAGGAAGGATCTCTACCAGAGCGCTAAAGGCTCAAACTAAAACCGGTTTTTCTCCTTGTGGATGCCAAAGAAGGATCCATCCGAAGGGTCTACTCTCTGACTACCCTTTCAACAAGGAGGTAAAGAGCTCCTGTGCGCACCAAGTCTTGCCTTACATTTCCTGTTAAAAGCGACTTTGAATAGATGGGTCATATGCCAAAAGCTTCAAACATAGAAAGGGCGGAGGGGTCGAGGGGGGCAAAAGTTTGATTTAATTAGTTCAATGAAACTCAACTTTGCCCCCCCCTCCTCCTTCCTCCCCTTCAACTAGCATTAAGTTAATTAATTAACATCTTGTGTACTTAGTAATGCAATCTTCCCACCATCAACAGAATTCTCTTCAAATCGTATTGGTATAATTATTAATATGATTAATGTTTTGCGTAATTAATATTTGAAAATAAATTCTCTATACTTGAAATTGAAATTCAACACTTGTGTTAAATATTTAATAAAAATTAGGAAAATTGAATGATTTATCAAAGTAGTTTATATAAAATTAACAATCCGTTTTGTACTTTAGTAATTTAGTATATATATAAATTACTTTAATAAATTATATAATAATAAAATGCTTGGTCTGTCCTTCTGTCCTAACTTGAAGTTGACCTTTTCTGATTTCACGTGTTTTTTTGAATGGTAATCTTATGACGTGTCAAATTTTGACAATTTTTTTTCTCATTTTTGCCAAAGTTGTATAATTGTGTTTCCAAATTTCGAAATAAGTTTCTTTAAAATTCCAAATTCGAAAATTCAATTCACGAAGCTGAAGTACACAACGTTTACCAACGAAATTTTTTTAAAAGTTGTGTATTGATTCAAAAATTGTACAAAAAATTTATGATGAGAAAAAAGATGCGCCAGGAAATTTCGTACAAAATAGTAATTTGAAAAAAATTTATTTTTAAAAATTAATTTTTAAGGTACCAGGGAGCCAACAAATACCTATTAAATATTAATTATAAAAACACAGGCCTCGAATCAACTTAAAGACACAAAAAGTCGTTTTAGTCGATATGAAGCTGAAGTTCGCAACATTTATGATAAACGATATTTAAAGAAATAATTTTTTTAAATGAAAAATTCTATAATTTTTTGCCTAAAAAATACTTTTTTAAAATTTGTTGATTAATAAAAACTACAAAAAAGTATTTTTTAGGTAAAAAAGTGTAGAATTTTTCATTTTAAAAAATTATTTCTTTAAAAATCGTTTATCATAAACGTTGCGTACTTCAACATCGTTTAGTCGATTTATATTCCAAAAAAAAGTAGATTTGTTTATTTTTTATTTTAACAAAAATATTTTACAGATTTTTAAATAAAAAATTTTTTTTTAATAATAATCCTTTTCGAAGGGTTAAAGATGAAATTTTTAGAAATAAATAAATTTCAAAAGATATTGTTAATTTTCAAACAATTATTAAATTTTACAGAAATAAAAATAATTAATCAAACAATTTTTGGAAAGTATTTTTTTAAATTAATTGAATTTTCAAAGATTTAAAATTGAAATTTTTGAAATTAATTGAAACTTTAAGTGTCTTGTAATTAAAATTTTAGATGATTTCACTAAAAATTTATTAGAAAATGCTGACAAAATACAATAATTTGAAAATCATTTTTAATTGAAAAATGGTTTCAGATAGTTGAATTTTTAAAGAATAAATTATTAAAATAGTTAAAAATAATTGAATTTTCTTAGAGTTATAATTGAAATTATTAAATTTCAAAAAAAAAATTTTTTCGATGGAAAATTTTAGAAATAATTAAATTTTAGATGCTTTTAAATTCAAATTATTGAAAATTCAATTAATTTTGAATTCAAATTTTTGAGAACAATTAAATTTTATTTGATTTTAAATTTGGAAAATAATTGAATTTCACTTCATTTTGAATTGAAAATTTTGGGAAATAATTGAATTTTAATTGAAATTTTGGATAATAATTTAATTAAATTTCATTTTTGATTGAAAATTTGGATAATTAATTTTGAATAGAAATTTTAGAAAATAATTGAATTTTATTTCATTTTAAATTGAAAACTTGGTAAATAATTAAATTTTAAATTGAAAATTTTGGATAATTATTGGATTTTTAATTGATTTTGAATTAAAATTTCCGGTAATAATTGAATTTTAGTTTATTTTGAATTGAAATTTTTAAAAAATAATTCAATTTTATTGTGATATTTTTTTTTAAATTATAAACAATTGTTAAATTTCATAAAAATTTTAATTGAAAAATAATTTTGATATAATTGAATTTGTGATGTATTTCATTAAAATTATTAAAAATAATTAATTTAGTGAAGAATCATTTTAGTTCAAAATTTGTTAAATAATTGAATTGAAGAAGAACTGAAGAAGATCTACATTTTATACTAAAAAAATGTATTTTATTTACATTTTTTTTCAAATGTAAAAAAAATGTCGCATTTTATTAAAATAAGTCGATAAAAGTCGTATTTTTGAAAAAAGTCGGAAAAAGTCGTATAATCCGAGGCCTGTATAATGTTCATTATTATCATTTAATATGTAATAATATTCTAATAAATTAAATTATTATTGATTATATTAATCTTTAATTTCTTTAAAACAAACAATTAAATACTCAGTTTGGCGCTCTTGCGCGCGTTTAATTTTGCTAGTTATTAAATAATAGAAAATTAGTCCAACAAATTAGAAAATGGGAAAAGATTAGCGGAGAATAATTTTAAACCACGTCGTGTAAATAAACTCCAATAAAATGAAATTTCCCACTTCTTTTTTTTTTTAAATAGACTTCCTTTTAATTCACGATCGTTACGCGTCCGTCATTTAAAAACTCCTTAAAGAAAGGTCAATAAGCCTCTACTTTTGCCGTTCTTCTCTCTCTCTCTCTCTTTCTTTTTTTATGTTTTAAAAGGTAATGGGAGAGAAAAAGGTCATGAAAATAACGAGCCAAAACGTCAGGGGAATTTTCTTTCGACATTTTTGTCAGGGAGATATAAAACGAACAGGCTTATTTCATTTTTATTAGAAGGGGGTAAAAATTTAGCATTCATCGAATTATTTTATAAAATTTGTGTCTACTATAAAATTCGACCATCTGGTGTCAAATATAAAAAAAAAAAGAAATCTTGATTTTAAATGGAGAAATCTAATTTAAAATGAGATGTGAAAATAAAATCACACTTACCTCGGATGAATACTGATGTTGCTGTTGCTGCTGCTGCTGCTTATTTGTTGGTGATGATGATCCTGAGGTAGATGGAGTTGGTGAAAAAGATCTTTGGTTTTTCGAATTCAACGATGTTCTTTGCGATGAGAATCGTGACATTAATGATTTTGCTCCCAATAAAAATGCCTGAAACGAATAAATAGTTTGTTGTTTTTTTATTTTCATAAATCAAATAGAGCAATAATTCTTATAGAAGTGATTTTTCACATTTGCGAGGATCATTTGCTCTGTTTAAAAGAGATTGATTTTCATTTTCGTTAAATAGCCAGAGGTTTTCAGTAGTTTGGCATAGTGCCAGTAAGACGTACTTGGCATCTCACAATTTATCAATTTACCTAATGGGATATTTCGTAAGTGCATGATAGATAGAGATTGACTTCAATAAGACATACACATACACACATGCTCCATATTTTTCTCCTTGAGAATTAATTGTTTAATACATAGGGTGTTAAATACTCTTTCAAAAATATGTTTTTCATATACTAAACCCTTTATGGATGTTTAGGAGCAGATGTATTATAGTCGAGTCGCGCAAGACGATTTTGCATTATATTTTCGATGCCAATGATCCATTGTGTTTCTCATATATAGTGGTGTCGACACAATGCACGTCAAAAATGAAGCTTATTGTTTTCTAAATTGGTGCCTACGTTCATTGATCACCCGCACTGTATGCAATATTTATGAGTGCAGAATTTTTTTAAAAAATAATTTTAGAATTTTCTAATCCTCTCGACAATTTAGAATCTGTATATTGATTTTGACAATACAGATTGGTATTTAAAATTTTGTTGTTGTCAACAAAATTTTGATTGTTCCAATGGTTAAGATTAAAATTCCTTTTCTAATTTTGATTCTGTTCCGTTGGAACCAAAATTTTGTTGATACAACAGAAAAATTTTAACTACCAACCAGATGTTTTGTCAAAATAAAATTTTGTTGAATCCGACTGCTTTTGAAGCATAATAACTAAAATACACACTTACGTAAAAATACTGTTGGTGAATATAATTTTTCACAAATATCCAGCAGAGAGAGAGAGAGAGCAACAGAATGATTATTATGGGGACAGGGTACAAAGCATTATGTGTTGGACGACCTGACTTATTCTGAATAAATGTGAATAACTGAATGACAGCTGACGCGTGCGGATGAAATCAGACAATAACCATCACCATCAAAACTCATATACACACAGCTGTATTAGGCGGCCGAGTAAATTCCGAATAAACCAACCTTTCACATTCGACATCACAGAGACAGAGAGAGAGAAAACCGTCATTTATCATATTGAATACAGATGTTACATTATACCGACATTATCACTATCACTATTTTTTCTATTCTCCACTCTTTCGCATTAGGAAAAAATTTATTCCTATTATGATTTGCCTAAAAATTTGCAAAACATTTTTCTTTAATTAGAGAAACCACAAATTAATTAGAGGTAAAACATGAATTATTTTCTCCTAAAGTAAATGTCATGTATTTATATATATATATATATATATGTCGAAATGAAATGAATGGCTTCGTGAAATAATAGTTCGAGCATCGGAAGTGCAATTTAATTGCTTTGATTGAAGTACACGTTGAATCCGTTGACACAACGATACATGCGACATATGCCATTATAGTTTACGACTTGGAGCTACAGAGTATAAATAGCCGAACGATCCTGGCACAATATATATATATATATATATACCTTTTCCAAACTACGAGAAAGGCATGCATCGTGTCACAATCCGTCGAGTAATACATATATCATTATGTATTTATTACCATCGATCACTGATTGAACTTCCATTCTCTCGGAATATGTATAGATGTGTGTAAATATATATTCGCATATGAATTTATGCTCTCCTATATATCTATATATATATGAAACTAAAGGCAGTGTACACCTGCAGCCATTGTTTGCAACCAATTCTAGATTGTGTATATATACATTAGAAAATTGCTGTACTTTACTATTTTCAACTAAAATTTAATATAACATGTAGATAAAATTCTTTCTATTTAGGAATTTAAAAATTATGGAAGTTAGATTCGACAAATGAGAAACAGATCACAGAAAATTATAAGGTATTAAAATAAGCTGCAACGCTTTTTATTTTAATCCAATTTTGCTTATTTTAATACCAAAATGGATTAAAATAAGCAAAATTGGATTAAAATAATAAGGGTTGCAGCTTAAAAAATGTGGAAATAAATTTCCAGACGCCACAGCCTTTTAATTTTCTGTGATTCTAACGGATTTTAGTTACAATAAAATTTCTGTGTATTACAAAAAAGTTGTTATACCAACGAATAATTTGTTAGTACACTGATCAAAATTTTTAATTGAATCAACAGCATTTCTGCCAAAGGCATAAAAATAATTGATTCAAAATCATATGCTATAGAATTTGTAAAATATACAAAATTCGTAGTATATATATGCTTTTGAATCACTTTATGCCTTCTGCAAAAATGTTGTTGATTCAATAGCATTTCTCTGTATTACTAAGGCGAATTACTACAATACAGATTTGTTGTAGCAACCATACAAAATTTTAGTTCCAGATTTACACCGAAAAAAAATATACCCAAAATCTGCTTTTTATTTATGAAATTTTTATCTTAGTACAAAAGCAATAGCAGTTTTTACCGGAAAAAGAAGTTAATCTTTACTTTGAAAAAGGTAATTTTGACCAAAACTAATATTAAAATTAACGTTTCGTTCAGTAACAATTCCATTGCTTTTGTTCTAAGCTAAAAAACAGATTTTTTTTTCCAGTATAGTAACAATTTTTCTCCGTAAAGATTTTTATTCCCATTAATTTTGTCCCATTTCTGCCATTTACATTTTTAGTCAAAACAATCCAAAACTAAAATTTTTCAAACATATTTTGTGTGAAAATATTGTTTAAAATTTTCCGTCGTTCTCCTTTCAAAGAGATTATATGGAAAAGGAACTAGTATGAAAGTAAGAGAACAAGATTTTGCGATAGATAATAATTTTCAAATGCCATGGAGAAGTAGTATGTATGTAAATTGGTTTAACAATGGGAGATAAAGAGAAAGAAGAAGAAGAAGAAGAAGAGAGAGAGAGAAAGAAAAAAGAGTAAGGATTGTACATAAAGCAGAAGCACTAGGAATACAAAATCCAGCTCTTTCGAGGTTTTGACTTTTATCACCGTTAATGCTCCATTGTTAAGGACGCGTATTTACGACTGCCGTTTAAAGGCTAATGTCCAAGGCATCGGGAATTACTTCTAAAGTGAATTTTCCATTTTTTCTTTTTTTTTTTTCTTTCCCAACAAGACCGTTATTATAAACGTGCCAGCTTACAATCAACATAGACTTGTAAATAATTAGCATATAAGCTCAAACGAGAGAAACTCAATCTATCGCAGTCACTAATATTCAAATTATCTCATGAATTATTCACTTTCAACTCCACTTGTTAATGCGTCAAAATTCCTAATTACACATAAATTTTGCAGTCGACGTCACGCAAAAACGTTTTCAAAAAAAAAAAAAAATTTGTGATCAAAATCTATACTAATTAATTTGTTATATTTTTGGAGAAACTAGGAAATAAAATAGTTGATCAACAACGGGTCCGAGACATCAATAACTCAAACTCGACCACGAAACATCAGTCATAATATGTTTGCGTCTGTCAGTTAGCTTTCAGCTAGTCTGAGAAATGTAAGGCCTCTCATCACGTATATATATATATATCCCATGGGGGAAACAATGAAACACATGAAAAATTACACCCCCCCCCCCAAGGCAAAACTATTTTAACAATTTTTTTCCCCGCCAAGAATCTTTTTTCAAAAAAATGGAATTTTTAATTAAGGAAGAAAAAAAAATGGTACTGCGGGGAATTGATTGGAAAATACCATTAAATTTTGAAAAAAAAAAATGGGAATATTTCTCTCCTTTTTTTTTAACTCTCTTTCTATCTCGTATAACAATACAACGGGAATGTTCAATTTGGTTTGCTGAACAAAAAATCCACTTTAAATTTACAAAGGAGAAAAAAATTTGATTTCCGAGAGAGAGACACAAATCACATTTCAATCGAACAATTTCGAATTTTAGATGAAATTAAATTATATATTGAAAATTTTTGCCCCTTTTTTTGAAATATAATAGAGAGTATAAAGGTTAATTCTCAGTGCATTAAAAAAAAAATGTATGGGAGTATTATAAAATTATATATAATTCATACTGTAAATGTTTAAATAAAGGGTTATGTCAATTTAATCATATATGAAAAAGTTGATTCTCAATTATTTTTCTCTGTTGAGACGATAATTTACATGAATAACGGTATCTTTATAACTAAATTACACTAGTCTGGAATATATTAATATTCAAACTTTTCAACAAAACTAGTTTTGTAAAAGCAGATATAAAAAAAAATTGAATTTCAGTAATTACAGAAATTAAATTTTTTAGGAATACAAAAAATAGTTTAATAATTAAAATTTACTTTTTGTAATTAATGATTTTTACTTTTTGTTTTCTCCAAAAAATATACAAAAAATTGATCTCTATTATTTTGTGAAAGATAAATATTTAATTCGTTACTGTTATTTTTAATGAATTTTAATTTTTTTTTTTAAATTCCTTTTTTAAATGCGAAATAAATTTATAAATTAAATTAAGGTTATCATAAAACGCAACAGTCGGACAAGCAATAAAAATGTCAAATGTCAAAAAGAGAAAACCGCACAAACTAAGAAGAAGAAGAAGAAAAAAAAAGTATATCTTTTTCTCAACTTTACGTTTGTGGTTTGTGCCTACCTAATGTAAACTCAAATGTCATTTGTGGTTAAACACAAACTTCAATAAACTGACAATGTTTTTTCGTTTTTTATTGCTTTTTCAAGAAATTACATTATTCATTAATATTGTTGCACGCAAACTAAACTGTCTCAATTAATTAATTTGCGAATACAAGTCTGCTTCTAATATCGATTAAGTAATAAAATTTTTATTACCCACTGTTTAATATTTCCAAAAAATGGGATAATTTTAATATTTATTTGATTTTAATTTTAATATAATATTTACGGAAAAAAAAAATCTTCACCTAAAACAGCGATGTTTCTCTGGAA